CCTAACCTGCCCTGAGAGGAACCCAACTGGCTGATTGCTTCTGAGACCTTCCTTCTCCCACATCCTGTTCAGGAGCCAAAAACATCTTTGGGATGAACCCTGAGGATTATTCCCACCTGCTGCTCCCACTTTTTTTTTTCCTGGATGGGACCAACCACAGAAACAGCCCACTGGGGGCTGCTGGTATGAGGGGATCTGCTAAAGCACATCCTTGGGATTTTAGCAGCTGATGTGTGGGAACCAACCCCCATCCAGCTCCTCTTCAGGAGCCCAGAAGCCACATTAACTTGGCACTGGCCCTGTTTCTTCCCAGAATTTACTGGTTGTGTGCTCTCCCTGGTCTGCACAGATCCACACCCACGTCAGATCTGGCTTGGAAAACAGGAAGGAGTCTGCAAAACATCCCCTAGACCTTCCTGCTGTGCCTGGCATCAGAAAAGACGTGGAATCACTGCCAGAGGACGGCACAGGGTCTGTCATCCCTGGGTGTGTGGTGGGGATGCTGCTGAGGGAGGTTTGCCCCAACCAGGAGGGGTTTTACAGCCCTGCCCTGCCTAGGAGAGAGATCAGGGGGCTCCACAGAGCATTTCTTAGCTTTGGTGGCTCTCTGTTCAGTCTCACTGCAAAAAGACATCCTGATGAGCACCAACACAGCAGCAGCAGTGGGCCCAGTGGCCCCCTTTCAAGTGGCTATTGATTGGTCTTTTCATTAATTACAGTGACATAAATCATAATTCCCATCCAGAATAATGACTAAGGCATCCCACAGAAGCTTTCAGACACAGAGGAACTTAGCTCCTGTGTCCACATCTTCCAGGAAGGATGGTGTAAATCCTGTGAGGACAATGGCTGAACCAAAGATAAAGTGGGTCTGGAGAGGCATTAGGTGCACGACCCTTAAAAAATAAAAAAAAAATACGACAGCTTATCCCCAAATCTATAAGCCACAAAGAACAGATAAGCAGAGAGACAGAGAGAGGCAGAGATAGGCAGCAAAAAGAAAAAAAGTAGATTGACTTGAGGAATTTGATGGGAAACTGTACCAGAAAAAACATGAATGACACTGAATCACAGAGAACTGGCCAAAAGACCACTGTAAACACACAACTGTAGCTGCTGTTGGGTGTGTTTATGCAGAAAGTTGCAAGCAGTGGGCACTGATGTGGGTACATTTATCTCCTAATTCCTTCTGGCTGGGGGCATGAGGTTGTTAATATATTGAATTTCCGTAGCAGGTTTAGATTGGCGCCTGTGCATATGAAAGGGAAGCTAATTAGATAATCACAGTGAATAATGCCTTCATTTAATTTAGCTTTTTCTGCTTCCTAAATATCCACAAACAGCTCATGGGCTCATCTGGTGTGTTCACTGGAGCCTGGACTTTGCTACCTTTTTATTGAGCAGTGCTTTCCACCATCCACAGCCTGAAGAGCAGGAGCGCTGCTTCCAACAGGAACCATTCCCAGAGGAAGGGCAATCCCAATCCCTTCCTGTCTCAGTGGAGTTATCACCTTTCCCTCTGTGTTCTGACAACCCAGCTCTGTTCCACCCCATCAGGACACCTGCACAGAGATGATTTCACACAAGGTTTTGGGGCAAACTCATCTTGGGTGGTTTCTGTGATCAACAGAGGTAAAAGAAGAGGTCCTCTAAGGGGGGACAAGGCTCCTGTCTCTCCTCAGGAGTGGCAGAGGAAGCCCAGAGAGATTAAACCCAGCTAAAATTAGCCCTGGTGAATATCCCTGATGGTCTCAATCCTCCTCTCTGCCTGTGTGAGCACACAAATGTGGAATAAATGCTGGCTGAATACATTTGAAATTCATTTTAAAGGCTCCTGACATTAAAACATTCATTTTTTTGGTAGTAATCCCTTCAAGAGAGCTCAAACACTGGTGGTGGAGTTGGCCACCAGTAGAGTCTGTTTTCTGGGATGGTTCTCTCCATTCCCAGACAGGTTTTGGCTTTTCTCCATCTCTCCAGGTATTCACACCCCCTTCCCTACAGCCTGGTTTTGTGATCCACCTATAAAATCACTGCCACTAGAAAATCTGCATTTTCTGACAGATGTGACAACAATAACCACAGCTATTTCCACTGCTAAGTACAGGGCAGAATTCTTGTGTCTCAGGTATTATTTCATGAGAACTGTTGGCGCTGATGAATTTGTGACAACCAATCTGTGGAGTGTGTGCTGGGCTCCTCTTAACATCCAACAGCTCTTTCTTTTTTTCCTATTTTGGGGGGATTTTTTTTTCCCCCCACTCTTTTTAAAAATTGTTTTTGCAACACTGAACCATACTTCTTGCCTCTGCTAAAGGAAACACAACGTTTCTTTAGACCATCTCCTCAGGTCCAAACATCTCCAAGGCCGTTACTCAATTCTGATTTTCTTCAGATCTACCTTCCAACACGGTTCCCAAGCCCAGGCCAGAAGCAGAGAACTAAAGGGAAAGGGGCACCAGGGCTCTCAAAAGTGCTCCCACACTCTCAGCAGGGGCACTTGGGAAGGGAGAACAAAACCATTGAGCACAGATAAGGCTTAAAAGTGCTGCACACACACACACGGACACGAAAGAAGGAGGGAAAAAAGAGAAAAGAAAGAAAAAAAAAACAAAGAACATCAGAAAAACGACTTTTTTGGTTTTGTTTTTGTTTGTTCGTTTGTTTTGTTGCCTCGCAGGTTTTGTTTTTAAAGCCAAACTCTGAGTGTGATCAATAACCAGCTGCTGTGTATTAAATAAGGTCACTCCGTGTGCAGTTTGGATTAGAGAGGGAGGGACTGAGAGGCAGCAACTTGCTGCTTTGCTAATCCAATAAACCACTTATTGCAGTGCTGACTTTCAAGTGCAATTACCCTGCTCCAGACCCTGCCTTGCAGCCTGGGTGGTTTTTTTTTTGAGTTCTCTCTTTGTCAAGAAGGCATCATCCAGAATGAAGCACTTGCTTGTTAGCAGCTGCTCCAAGCAATGCACCAAGGTCACTTCTCCACTTATTTTTCAACCCGGCAGCAGCTGGTATCTCTGATCACCCAAATCTCCTCTTGTTTTATGGCCATGGCACTGCTCAGGCACCAAAATTTCCCTTTGCTGCACCCAAGGACCCCAAGGCTTGGTTGTGTCAAAACTGCTGATAAACCATGAGCCTAAACAGGTCCCTGTGTTTCTCACAAAATTGTTAAGGTTGGAAAAGACCTCCAAGATCGAGTCCAACCTTTGACCAAACCCCTCCATGGCCACTAAACTCTATCACAAAGTTCCAGGTCCACTTGTTTCTGGAGCATTTCCAGGGATGGTGACTCCACCATTTCCCCAGGCAGCCTGTTCCAAAGCCTGGTCATCCTTTCAGGGATGAAATTTTTCCACATATCCAACCTGGACCTCCCCTGGTGCAGCTTGAGGCCATTTCCCCTTGTCCTGTCACTTGTTACCTGGGAGTAGATTCTGGCTCCCACCTCACCACACCACTCCCTATTTCAGGGAGCTGTAGAGAGTGCTGAGGTCTCACCTGAGCCTCCTTTTCTCCAGGCTGAGCCTCTCCAGCTGCCTCAGCTGCTCCTGGTGCTCCAGACTCTTCCCTAGTTCTGTTCCCTTCTCTGGACACTTTCCAGCCTCTCAAGGTCTTTCCTGGAGTGAGGGGCCCAAAACTGAACACAGGATTTGAGGTGCTGGAAACAAACTTGCCTCTACCATGGGTTTTGCCTCCACCACTCAATTAAAAATCACTTTTACCCCAACTGCTCAATAGAGCAGTGTCAGGAATATTGAACCTTATCCATATTATCCACCCCTGCCCTCTGAGACTCAGTGGAGCTCCTTTCTCCCTCCACTTGGACAGGCAGGATATATCCATGCATCCTGCACTTTCTCCAGCAGCCTCCAAAGGTTTCAAACTCTGCCTCCACGCAGAGGAACCAGAACAGCTTTTGCTCTCCTCATTCCTTTGTGAACAACTTCTTCCTTCCAGAACACAGCTGTTACCCACAGTGACAAATCAAATTCCTGCAGTGGACAATTGGGAGCACAGATCCCTGACTTTCGCAGCAGAGCTTCTCTGACTGCACCAAGAAGCCAAAAAGGGCAGGGGAAAGGAACACGCATCTGACCTGGTCATCTGAGGAGACTCAGAGTGTCAGCCTGCCATTTCTGTCCCTTGCTCAGGGATAAAATCTGAGCAAACTGCAGGTTTGCTCCTGGAAGTGGAGAGGAGAAGGGCTTTCATCCTGCTGGGGGTGCTGGCAGTGGCAAAATAGCCGCTGCCAAAATTTTGGGAGTAACCCAAGAGAGAGCCCTGCCCAGGAGCTGCTGCCCTGGGCAAAACCCTGAGAGACACCAGGGTGGGGAGAAATGTGGAGTCAACTCTTGGATTTATACTCCAAAGGAAAACAGGTAACACAAACCCTCTGGATTCAGGAATGGAGGCGGTGGAGAAGATAAAGAACCTCAGGTGGCAGCAGAATTTTTTCTCGCAGCAGAGGTTCTTAACTCACCTCTCCTAGTGCATCCATCTGCTGCTCTGCTCCCTGCCAGACCTCCAGAACCCATTCCCTTCCATCACACACCTCTGCTGTCCCTGAGACACCTGCCAGCCCTCAGACACGGCCCCTGTGTCCCCCAGCTCTTGCCACGTGCCACACTCAGCAGTGCTGAGTCTCTCTCTGCTGTCTCCAGGAGTTAGTGACAAGAACCACTTTGCTCTCCCTCATTTCTGGGAGGATGTGCCAGCCTTGGCTGAAGCCATTTTAACAAAGAGATGAACTTTTATCCTTCCTCCACAGCAACACAGGGCTGCTTCTTGGATTTTTGTGTCCTGCTGCACTAAATGACAGTGCAAAGACATTAAATCAAGTGTGTTTTCTTTCATTTTGTTCAAATCTGGTTTTGCTTTTTTTTCGTTTTCATTCCCAGTCTCCCTTTTCGCCCCTTGCCTGGTTATTGATCACAACCTTGGGTATTTTTGGTTTTTATTTTCACTCTTTACTTAGATGTATTGATAAGGCATACCCTGCCCGTTCCTTCAGTTTCTTATCTGTTATTCCATCTTTGGATACAAGTTTGTTAAAAACCAGAATGCCAATAACCATGTTCACCTGTCAAAAGAGAAACAACACACAAGTTTTGTTCTCAAGTGGGTCAGGTCAAGCTCAGTAACACAGAAGGGTTTCTCCCAAAGCCAGGTTACACCACTGCAGGCCCCACCCCTTGTGTCCCCTGTCCCCCACTGTCCCACCTCCCAGGCCGTGCATCAGTGAGCTCAGGACAGCAGAATGCAGCTGGCAGCAGACCAGGGAGGCTGGAGAATCATTAAAATTGGAAAAGACCCCCAAGGTCATCAAGTCCAACCCTCAACCAGGTCTCCATGAAGCAGGAGAGACTGGGAATTTCTCAGATTGCTGCAGGGCTGCTTGAACCCCAACACTGCCTGAGGTCCAGCAAGGCAAACTCCAGGCACAACAATTTTTTGGACTAATCCAAATAGAGAGTGTCCAGTACAGAGAAGAACAGTGGGTTGACATTGGCTGCTTCCCAAAGCACCTTCGGGAGTCAGAAGCAGCATTAAGAGAATGAAGACAACGTGTCACAGATCTTTCCTGGAGAAACACCACTGCTGCTCTCAAAATAAGAGGTGGAGGGGTGCTGGAGCAAGTAGAAACATCATCTGCTCTGGTGGGGTGTCTTGGGAGATACTGCAGAAGGCACAGCACTGAGAATTCCCCAAAAATCAATGGGTGATACAATTCCGTGCAGTCCATTTTCCTCAGGGTGAGAGTAGGGATGTCTTTGTCCATGAGAAACAAAAATCCACAGTGAAACACAGGCTGGACAGAGCTGAGATCCTGCAGAGTGACCCCAAACTCCTCCCTGTGCCTTTCCACCTGCATCCACTGCTGCCAGCTGCATCTGCTGTACGAACACCATCCCCAACACGTTAGTGACACGCCAGCCCCACCCCTGCGTGGAGGAGGTCATGATGGTGGAAAAAGGAGACATTCTCCTGGCTTTGCTGTCAGTGGAACAGCTGCTGGTGGCAGAAACATGTGGTCAATGCTGTTTTGCATGTGGGGCTTGCAGGGAAATGTTTTTAAGGCCAAATTCAGAGATAAATTCATGTGGCTTTATGTGTTAGTGATTTTAAGAGATCCAAAGAGTCACCTGACCCAAAGGAAGGGACCAAGCCTCTGCCTAATTGCCTAAATCACCCCCAAAACAATGATCAATCTTTCTGCTGGTTTCACCAGCTCACTGATGTGGAGCCCACAGCTAGGAATTCACAGAAAATCGCATAATTGCAGTTATTTTTGTGTGCATCAGCTGCTGGGTCAGTGGACAGCTGAGACCATTTCTAGAGTTCACCATGGTATTAATTCAGAGAAACAACACTGGCAAGTCAGGCACAGTGACACAGCCAAGGATCAGCAGGAAATCAAAGCCTGGTTATGAGCCTGGAAAGAGAGGGAGCACTTTGAAATCACCGATCCTTCACTGTGGAGGATCCAAAAAGGTTTTCCCTTGAGGTGCAGCCGGGCAGGAGGAAAGGTGGGGTTGAAGTGTGGCTGGATCTATCCTAGGGCTGGCCAAAGTGTGCATCCTCACTCCTAAAGAGCAGGGGAGACAACAAAGAGCAGTTCTGCACTGGTTTTAATCAATCAATTAATCCAGTACATTGATCACCACAATCAACACCCTGCTCTGATCTTGGCTCCACTTCTTTCCTACATCAGGGATACCACATGGATATTCTTCCAATAACATGCAGAGTAGCTTTACTTCCTTATCTTTGAGATAACTTCCAGAAGCAAAGCCTCAAGTCTGAAATTCATGGAGATGACCACGACCTGACCATTGCTGACCGTGTCCTCACTTTGTTCCATGAGCCTCCCCCTGCCTTCAGCCTGCACAAAACCCACCAGGCTGCTCCACATCAGCTGGGTGAGCAAAACTGCTTCCAACAGCTCTGTGTTTTAAGGCAGATCAGGATTTTTAAGAATAAAGGTCAGACCTTTATCCTTCAAAGCTGCAGCTGTTCAGTGTCAGTGGCCTGACTGTGAGTTATGAACATTGCTGAAGCTGCAGGCCAACCACCTTCAGAGTATTATCAACTTTCTGAGCCCATCTTTTTGCAGGTTCCCATTTATAAAAAGGCTTTCCATGCTTCTCCTTCTTCTTCCCCAAGCTCTTTGGTGGCTCTATCAGGGCAATATTCATTTGTCACTTTGGCCAGGAATGAGTCAGGGAGTCTAAACGAGGCGTGGGGCCCCTCTCTTGGTGCTGATCAGGGCCAGACACCCCCAGAGATGATTCACCACCAAATATCACCTGCAGGAACCACCATCTGCATGTGCTGACGCCTCTGTGAGGACATCTCATTTCCTCTGCTTGATGGTGAGGCAAATCTGAGCTGCCAAATGGAAGCAGGCTCCTGTGTTTTCCTCACACTTTAAAAGAGGAAAAAGGGAAAGATCACCTCCCTCGTTGCTGGCACAACAAAAGCAAGGTGCTTTGAGGCAGCAGAGTGACTCTGGGCGCTACCAAAGCTTCCTCCCTCGGAATCACTGTGTCACAACCCCACATGAAAGACCTCAGCTCATGCCAGTTTTGATTTCTTGCAGAGGAGGGGCCACTGCTGGCTCTCCTCTTTGTCACCCTGATGGAAACGATGGCTCCGAGGTGGTTTGATGTGCAGTGACAGCGCTGAGAACAGAGGCAGCCCGAGCTTTTGTGGAGTTATTCTCCTGTAAGCTCCCGCTGCTGCTGCGGGGCATTTCATCCCCCAGGCACTGCACGGAACAAAAGCCTGAACTGAAAAAGGAATTGGGAGTGTCAACAGCCCCATTCCTGCGGGGCTCTCCAGAGCCTCAGAGGGCATAAAGCTCCTCCACTGGATAAAACAGTGGGCTGGAGAGAAACTGCAGAAAGGTGTGGGGGTTCAAACGTGGCTTTAAACCCATCAGGAATTGCTGCAGGAGGGATTTCCTGGAGGTGCAGCAGTTCTCAGATTCTTTCAGCCCTGAGGTTTGTCATGAGCAGTGAGGCCTGAGGAGCAGGGAAGGAATGTCACCTTGAGTGACACCTTAAATTCAAATTATAACTGGCCAAGGTTGGTGTTGGGGCTGTGCTGGACAGAAGAATGGACTCCCCATGCAGGAGCTGGAGTTTAGAAATGCCCACTCTAACCCTGCCATCTCTTTGAATTCAAAGCAAACGTGACATTTTTAGGGTCAGAAGGGATCCCGACAGCGTTGATTTGAAGATTTTTAACTTCAATTTCAAACAAGGAAATCTGCACACGTGCACTGACTTGGGATGGACCAGGAATAAAAGCTGGCTGTGAGGGCACAACCTGGGTGAAAACCACCAGGAACAGCATTTTCTGAAGGAGACAATGTCAGAGTTTTCCACCATCAACCTGCACTTCCATCCAGACACAGCAAAACCAAGGTAAAGCATTAATCAGATGTTGGGGGGCTCCAGTGAGGACAGAGGGGGAAGGCTGAGATCTGAGACACATTACATTTCAGAATCAACCCCATCCCAAATTATTGGCTTCATTATTCCTGAAGGAGGAAACTCTTTGAAACGCAAGTGGAAATAAAGAGGGGCATTCTTGGGTTGAAAGAACAAGGAAATTGCTACAAGATGTGGAGGAGAAAAAAAGAAATCTTTCAGACAAGCTTAAATACCAAAACGACAGCAGCCGCCGGTCCCACGAAGGCATAGAGGAGTCCTCCCTCTAATGACAGCCAGCAGCTGGAAAATGAAGAGAGAAGAGAAAGTGACCCAGTGGCAAATGTCCCCAACAGGCACATGTTGGCTTCTTCCCTCTGCCTGCCAGAGTTCACCCTGGGAGGTGATGCCCCATGGCAAAAAATAAATAAAAAAAAAAAAATTCTCAGACTTTAAATCAAACAAGTTTTGCTTCCCATCTCTCCTGAACTTGCATAAAGGCTCCTCTGCCTGGGGACCTGCCCGCAGGAAGACATTTGGCAGGGGAATTCATGCAAAATTAAGGAGAGTGCTCTGTTTCAGACCAGGTCCTGGAAGCAGCTGCAGCATTTGGCTGGCAAGATGATGCTGCTCTTGTCCTACTTATATGGGAGGAGTGGAAAGAGTGGAAATTTTCCTCTGCTCATTTGCTGATCCCTGGATCTTCCAGGGGTGCAGGACATTCCTTCCCTCCCTTTGAGATTGCCTCCATGGGGAAATTCAACAACACAGCAGCAAGGTGGGAATTCACAGCATTCCCTGAGTGGAATTTCTTATGGGATAAGCTGAATGTGAGGCGTGTGGTGCCTCTTCTCCCTCACACCACATAACCTGAGAAGGACATCTCCCTTCTGCACTGACCAGATGCGGAATTTGGGTTCCAGAACTGCCTGGTGCCTTCCCAAAGTCAGGGAGCTCTCATTTGAGCCCTCTTGGATGAGGCCCTGGAAGTGTCCAAGGCCAGGCTGGATGGGGCTTGGAGCAACCTGGGATAGTGGAAAGTGACCCTGCCAGGGCAGGGGGTTGGAATGAGATGACCTTGAAGGTTTCCTCCAACCCGAATCATTCTCTGAGTTTCTGTTTTTCATGCTTGACTGTGAAGTCAGGAAGGAAAAGCTTTTCCCCCTTTCACTTGTAAAATCTCCATCCTTGGAGACATTCAAAAGCCACCTGGGCACAGCCCTGGGTCACCTGCAGGTGACCCTGCTCGAGCAGGTGCTTGGACAACAAAGCCCCCTCAGGCTCTGTGACAGCCATGAACATCCACAGCAGCACCAGCACTGGAACTGAAATTTTCCTTTTTTTTTTTTTTGTTTGGTGGGGAATCCAGCAATTCAGGGCATGGACACACAAATTAAGTGCTCCAGGATAGGAGAGGATGGAAATTTAGAGTGTGTCAGCAGCCCCTGGGAAAGTTTGCATGCTTTAACAGGGCAGAACCCTGGAGAAAATGTGGGATGGAGTAATCCTGTTTCAGCAGGAAACGAGCGTGCACTCAGCACAGGAGAAGAGCAGGAAACCACAATGGAGAGGGGAACTTTCTCCAAGCTCTTAACTCAGCCCACCCTGCAGGAATTCACTTGCCCTGCCCTCAGCAAGATGCTTTCATCCTGCATCAGGAGCAAACTGATGCTCCCAGGGGAAAAAAAAAAAAAAAAAAGTCTTCCTGGAAACATTTCAGCATATGTTTTTTAATTAAACCTCAGTTGCAAAAAAATGTTAATTTTTTTTCACCCCAAAAAACAAGGACCATTTCTGAAAAGGCAGCCCAAAAAGTGGAAGTGTTTCAAACTGAGAATTAAAAGTAGGATATTCTGGTTTTCTCCAAGGTCTGAATCTTGTTTATGTCTAAATTAAACCTGTAATGTGCTAATTTAATCAATTCTGATTCCTTCCTGATAGCAAGTTGCTCTGTCACAAGCTGTCTGAGCAACTGTAATAATAAAATGAATAATCAGCTGAGGAGGGAGGGAGTAAAAATGAAGCTCTGGAGCTCTGTAATGACTGGAGGTCTCCCAAAATGCAAGAGGAGGGCTCCCAAATCCCAGTCCTTTGTCCAAACCTTTTCATCCAACGCTCTATCCTGATTTTTGAGATTTTTTTTTTCTCAGTGTCTCTTCCAGCTGGTGGCTCAGATGAAGAAATCTGACAGTCGTGCACTGCAATTAGTGATGAGGACTTGGTGCACAGAGGGTTCTCATCCCTGCGGGGTCCCTGGCAGCCCCTGCTCCCCCAGGAGCACCAGGAATTGTCAAGGTGAGCTCACACATCACCAAGCACCAGCCCTGATCCCTCCTGACTGCCTGACCTCCCTGCCACAGCACTTCTCCAAAGCATTTCTGAGGCTGTCAGAGGTGCTGGCTGCCAGCAAGGGAGAGGAAAGGGTGAAGGGATATCTGAGAGACAGAACTGACAGCAAACCCCAGCCTGATGGAGATGCTTTTAGCCTCGTGCCTATGAGGCACAGAAATATTTGCATTTTGCTAAGAGGTTCCCTTGTACTTTCCAAGGGATCTCTTCAGTGATTTTTGAAATAAAATTATCACTGGAAGGGAGGAAGTGAATGGTTTAACAATTCCTTAGCAGTGTTTCCTTGACTGACAGCAGCTCTTGTGTTCAGCACAAAAAAAAAACAAAACCTTTTTTTGCAAACCATCTGATCTTTTTGTGACTCTGCCATGGCACAGATGGGAGGTGGTGGCTTTTGTCCTGGTCCTGGGAAGGGCTGGCTTCCACTGAGCCCTTTTTCACACTGTCCAGGCACAGCTCTCACTTCGACCCTGTGTAAGATGAGCCAGCACCAACAGAACATTTTGTAAAACTGAGGTTACAGTCGGGAATCAGGGCTGGCCCACCAGTGCTTATCCAGAGCTTAACCCAGGAACTGCTGAGATACCTGTGGGTCACAAAAGCCCCGATGCAGTGACACTCCAGGACCCTGAGAAATCTGCTGTGTGCAGGCTGTGCTCTCAGAAAACTTCTGATGAGCTCTCTGGTGGGGAAGGATGTGAGCTCCCAGCACCAGTGGCACAACCTCAATTATTCACTTCAAGCTTTAGGAGGTTGTTTGTGAAGCTTTAGAGGTCCAGAGGCAATCCCTGGAGCACCAGCTAAAAGCAGAGTTATTATTCAGGCACTCAGCCTAATCTAAGGAGGTGATCAGTGCCAGGTCCTTTAGACCTCTGGTACCCCTCAGACTCCGAGACTGGAAGTGCAGCCTCTACCCTGCCCCAGCATGCTCCAAACAACAGCAAAATGTCCTTTCAAATGCAGTTCAGACAAGAGAAAGGAAAAATCCCCTTGTTGGAGTATCCTGAGTAATAAAGGCTGAGTGAATGGCTGCTGGGAATCACCACTCACAGAACAACAGACACACCCCAAATCCTGCAGCACATATTGAATTTTTAATCTGAACCTCTCTCTCCCTCCTCAACTCGTGACTCAGTGCAGTCTGGCCAGCTAAATGGTAAATATTAAACATACTACAAGCTCCCTAAACTTACCACAGGCTCTGATCTCTCTGCATTAAGAGCTTGGAGACACAGCCAAGGCTTTGATGGGACAATTCTTGGTGGGACAGACCCCTGTCCTGCTGCTCAGATGTGTTTTCATTGTTAGAAAAAAGCTTCATCCCATGTACAATAAGAAAAAAAAAAAAAGGACCAAACTGGGTGAAATCCCTGCTGAGGACTCCTGATGGAGTTTGTTCCAGTGTGGTTGGGCCACCTTTGGCACATCCTGAAGATCCAGCCTCAAGACACATCACACATTTCACACCCTGCCCCTTCCACCAGCTTTGCTCTGAGAGTCTTTAACACCAAGATTAATTCTGCAAGGCCCTCAACACTTGCAGCTGTCCCCAAAATGCCCTCATGACCATGTCCTGTAGTTGGATGTCAGGGGTTTTTTTAACCACTGTGAGTGGGATGAGAAAAAAACCCTGCTGTTGAGTGTTAAATTCTATGCTCACCTAAATATCAGAGCCCTGCTTTGACTTCATGTCCACCCCCACCACAGGAGCTCATGCACTGCTCTTGGGATCGAAAATTGTAGGGTTGAAGATGCTTTAAAAGGCTCTGTGTGGTTTTTAAAAGTCCCTTGTGGTTTATCTTATCAGCTCTTGTCCCCTCCTTCCAGGGAGGAATGTGCTGTGATTAAAGCTTTTCCTTCCTTCTGCAAGATGGAAATATTGGGCCTTGAAAATCTGCAGTGCCCACCTGAAATGGCCCATGAGTGTCCAGTGGAGACAAAACCGGGCTGAAAGGACAAGATCATCTCATTCCAACCCCCTGCCATGGGCAGGGACATCTTCCACTGCCCCAGGTTGCTCCAAGCCCTCTCCAACCTGGCCTTGGACACTTCCAGGGATGGGGCAGCCACAGCTTCTCTGGGCAGCCTGTGCCAGGGGCCTCCCCACCCTCACAGGGAAGAATTTCTTCCCAATATCCAAGCTAAACCTCAAGTTTTGGAGTTCAGCTCTGGAATTGCTGCTGTGCAGTGCTGACTTTGCTCTGGAGGAGAGGTAAAACCAAGGGCCTCCCCACACAGAGCTTTTAAGCCTTTTTGAGCAGGAAAAGAGGCCTAAGTGTGAATGCACTCCAGTCTGTCGGGGCACCCTGCCCAGCTGGGCCCACAGCAATATTGGTTCCACGTTTTAAAATGCACAAAAGTGTAAATGTAAATCTCTCATTACAGAGATGCTCCATTTTATTCAGCATCAGGGCTCGTGAACCCACCACTCAATGCAAGTGAGCTCTGTTCAACTCTGGCTCTTGGGAAAGCCAATTCCAGCAGGAATTCAGAGAACCATGGAATGGTTTGTGTTGGAAGAGACCTCAAAGATCATCTGGTCCAATCCTCCTGACATGGGCAGGGACAACTTCCGCTATCCCAGGTTGCTCCAAGCCCTCTCCAAGCTGGCTTTGGACACTTCCAGGGATGGAGCAGCCACAGCTTCTCTGGGCAACCTGTGCCAGGGCCTCCCCACCCTCACAGGGAAGAATTTCTTCCCAATATCCAATCTAAATCTATCTTCCTTTGGCTCAAAGCCATTTTCCCTTGTTCTGTGACTACATGCCTTTGGAAAAAGTCCCTCTCCAGCCCCCATGTCTTTTAGGTACTGGAAGGTACCAAAATTACAACAGGATGGCAGTGTTGGGGATGTCTGATGGGATCTTTGAGCTTGAGAGGAACTGCTATTCTTCTCATGACTTTGGTGGGATTCACCAGCTTCACCCCACACTGGGAAATGTGGAAAGGAGGCAAAAGGAGGGACCACAGAACCATGGAATATCCCAGAAAAGGCACACAAGGATCACTCAAACCGAACTCATCAAAATGGACTTGCTGGTCTGTGAAGGCCCCACCAAAACCAGATGTTTCTGGTGAAAAACATCCTGATAGCAGTGCTGAGAGCACGGGATCCCCTTCCATCCCCTGTCTAGATATCCAGCCCTTGGATGCAAGGAGTAACAGAGCCTTTAGGGCTGAAAGGAGCCAGAGCATTGGCAGCCAAAGGAGGAGAGCTGGAGTGACCAGGCAACCCCTGGGAACGCTGGAGAGTCAGCCCAGCCTCTTGGCCACCTCACCCTGTGCCAGCTGGAGAGCAAAGCAGGAGCCCAGCAGGTTTTGTCACATGCTGACACCCTCCTGGCTGCAGTCTGTGGGGTGGGAGGTGCTGGCACAGTGGTCCAGGGCAGAAAACAGGGAGAGCTTTCCTGCACGTTCCTCCCCTCACCACCCAGGCACTTTTGTGCGGTCAACGTTGCCCAAAAATCTCTTTAACATTTTTGACAGAGCCACAAAGCTTGTTGAACCAATTCCCACCAGCCCATAAACAAAAAAAGAGAAGCAGAAATATCCAGGACCTCCCTCCCATCTCTCTGAGGCTTGTTCATTATGAATTATCCTCATGGATGTGCCTGGAGCAAAGTGCCAGAAGGCTGACCCACGGAAAATCCAAAGGGAATTTATTTGGGATCTTGGTGATGTTTCTGCAACCCAGGCTGTGTTTTGTCCTCTCCTGAGTCAGACAACAACCACTGGGTCCCTCTCCACCAGGACACACTGAAGGTGGGACAGCCAATGCATCCTGATGCCAGCACAGACTTCAGGAATTCTGTCTGTGGATTTGCACTTGAGAAATCCACAATCCTGAGCCCTCCGCCATACAAGAATTCAGGTTTCAAAGCAAACAGAAAACGCTGCTGTGCTGCTTTAATTCTCCCCTGCAATTAAAATGCAAACCCTGGACCATTTGGCCGTGGGTGTGCAGGATGTAGTGGGAATTGAGGGAGAGCAGGAGGTTCCACATGACATTTCCTCAGTGGGATGAGTGGGGCTGCATCTGCTGCCGGCCACAGCAACAGCTCCAGTCCCAAACATTGCCCATGTGGGCTGCAAACCCCTGCCCAGGAAGGCTCTGGAAAATTATGGGAGGCAGTAGGGAAGAGCATGACTTATTGCTACATAAAACATCATCCCTGAACTGTCACTGTGTGTGAAATTTCTAAGGTTTTTCACAACAGAGGGAAAAAATATTTTCTCTTTTTTCCTTTTTCATTTAAAGTCGTATCAACGCTCAGCTCTGAGTGATGCATTTTTTACCTCTCCCATTATTTCTTTTCTGTTTTCCTTCCCTCATTATGAGCACATAAAAGCTTCCTAAAGACAAAATCTGTGGAATTTGGAAAAGAGTCAAACACAGGCTGCTGTCAAAACCTTGGTTTGCACAAGTCAGGCTCATTCTGATGCCTAAAACTGAGCTGAACAATTTTGAAAATTTGGAGTCAATCAAGCACAAAAACAGATTAAAAAAATAAAAGGTGGTTAGCTGGTTTTAATTTTTAAACATCCTAAACTTTAAATATTCCACATTCATCCCCTTAAAAATACATTAAAAAGCTCTAAGTAAAAGGTATTTCGATCAAAGTGATGTCACAAATACAGCATAATAATTCGTCCCTATGAACTTGTTTTTAAAGGAACACACAATCCAGCTTGTTCAGATGATGGATTGAGGAGGCAAGGGTGCAGGAATTGTCCTGCACATGGAAATTTAGCTCCCAGCCTGCCTCCTGAAGTGACTGGGTTTTGACAAAAAGGATGGAGAATAAAACAAGGAGAAAAAAGAAATCCTTTACTCACTAGTTCACGGTGCCGTATCCCTTGGCTTTAGTAAATCCCACAGAAATGGCAACCACCAAGGCAGGGAGCCCTATGGAAATGAAACAGGAGGAAATTGGTCATTTCATCACATGTGCAGCCCTTCTCCCACTCAATATTCCCCATTTTCCCCAGAGTTATTCCAGCACCATCCATTTCAGCCTGGCTCTGGGGCAGACACTGAGCTCAGGACCCTCAGAACTAAAAGCAAGAACTTTAATTAGCTCTGTTATTTAAATAAATACCATGAGCTGCTATCAGCTCCTGCCCTGCTGTGATCTCAACAGTTGTGGGGGGTCTTTTAGTAGATTCAGATGCATAAAATTGATTTAATTTATACTTAGGTTCTTCATGGTGTCTCTGAAGTTGGAATACTCAGCCACAACCCAACTCCAAGAACCCAAAGATTAAGAGCTTTGTTTGCACACAGTGTAGGATGAACAACCCAGGTTCAAATGAGACGGAAAAGGAAACTAAAACGGAGTTTCCCTATCCCACACAGGTCCCCCAAGATCTGTAATGGAGCAGATTCCTCTGAACAACAATGAAAAAGGGTTTCAGGTCTCTTGCAGGATCTATGAAGGTTCAAAGTTCAGCTCTCCCCTTTCCCTAAAGAAATGTCTGGAGATCAGCTCATAACATCAGGTACATCAGGTTCTTCAGCTCTGGAGGTCTCCAAGTGGCTTTTTATAGCCCCTCCTCTTTGTGGCAGGAGGAATTAAGCTGTCTCAACACTAAAGATGGGAAAATCCCATTAGGAATCAGCAGGATCAGTGGCCAGCTGGGATTAGTGCCCCCTTGACAAGGCCCTAATTTCGTGAGCTGCAGAGGTCATGGCAGGTGACTGCAGGAGATCCAAGGAATGTCCAGGCACAGCTCCCAGACAACACTGCTCTGGGAAGGGGGGTCCCTCAGCAACACAAATCATCCCCAAGGCTGATTTATAGTGAGGCTTCTGCAGCAGCTGGGAGCCACAGGGCCAAGCTGGCTGCAATATGGAGCATTTGAGGGTTATCCTGCAGGGAAGCTCATCTCTTCCCATGTGAGATTCCCAAGCACAGGTCACATTTCATCAGCGCAAACCCAACATGCAGTGGGTTTAAAAAGCGTTTCTTTTAATATTAATTTCTGTTTCCATTCCCTTCCCCCTTCTCTTCCTTCCCCCTCCTCCTTCCCTTTCCCCTTCCCTCCATTTTTCCTTTCCTTTCCTTTCCTTTCCTTTCCTTCTTCCTTTCCTTTCCTTTCCTTCCTTTCCTTTCCTTTCCTTTCTCCTTTTCCTTTCCTTTCCTTTCCTTTCCTTTCCTTTCCTTTCCTTTCTTTCCTTTCCTTTCTCCTTTCCTTTCCTTTCCTTTCCCTTTCCTTTCCTTTCCTTTCCTTTCCTTTCCTTTCCTTTCCTTTCCTTTCCTTTCCTTTCCTTTCCTTTCCTTTCCTTTTCCTTTCCTTTCCTTTCCTTTCCTTTCCTTTCCTTTCTCCTTTCCTTTCCTTTCCCTTCTCCTTTCCTTTCCGTTTTTCTCATTTTTTCCCCTCACTGACTCTCACTCAGCCTCCTTCACACCTCATCTGGATAAATCCTAGTTGCTGCATTCCCTAGGGTGCCATCCGTACAGCATCCCATGGGAAGAAACCACATGGGAGGGGACATTTTCAGGAATACAGCTTGGTGCAAGAGACCCTGGGAAAGAGGAAATTTGGCAAAGGACTCCGTCAAAAATAGCAACTTGTTCTTCACAAAGTGCTGCTCCGACGTGGTAATTATGCAGAAATCCAGAGTGGGGCTGTGAACTTGGCAGCTCCAGGGACTGGCTCATTCCAAGGCTGGGTGAAAGCCTCAGCTTGGGCTGGGAATGGGTCTGGACAAGGAGCAGCTGCTACAGGTGGCAGCTCTGTCGTGGTAGTTCAGCCAAAGAGAATCATAATGAGAGGTGCAGCCCCTGGGCGAGCTGTCAGTGCTCTAAGGAAAGTTAGATGGGATTAGATTGAAAAAATCCCCCACCAAAAAAATCAGATTTAATCTATTTTTTTTTATTATTATCAAGACATTTATTCCTAACTGGCCTGTTCCATATACCTGGTGTGGTACAGGCAGTACCAGCAAGGCTTTGGGGGCTTTCTGCACAAAGGGAATTATAACACTCACAATTCCAAGTAAACCCATTCAAAACCTCTTTCAAAGAATTTTGTACTTCCAGGTCACAGGAGAATCAGGCCATGTGTTAATCATGTTCCACTAGAGAAGATGTTTGCTAATAATTCCCAAGAGCCATTCTTGTTATAAACAGCTGAAGACCCACTCAGAGGCTGAGCTATGGCAGCATTAAAAATCCAGCTGTGGAAACTATAACAGGGTCATAAAAATCCTGACAAAAAATATTTCTTCTTTATTAGGGCTAAATATGATGACTGAGCTGTTCCCAGGGAACAATTTATCTGTCTATTGTAAACCAGAGAATATCCTGAATTGGAAGGATCCACAAGGATCATCAAGTCCAAATCTTGACCCTGCACAGGATCACCCAAAGAGTCACATCATGAACTTGAGAGCATTGTCCCAAGCACGGACAAGAATAATTAATAATAATTATTACTAATAATAATTTAAAAATTGAATTGCAAAGTTGCACACCCAAGAGGAGACCAAAGGAAATATAAAATAATCCTCCCTGCTGCTGAAATTCTCTGCAGCTTCAATGAGCTACAGCTGAGAGCAGCTGAGAACTTGGCAAAGACATCTCCAACGACGGCTTAGAGAAATGCAAATGTGCAAAGAGGGGAAAGGGGGGGAGAACCAGCCCATGACAAAGTGAATTGTGCTAATTATTTCAGATTATGCTCTTTAAAACATATTTTTCGGCTTCTTTCCTCTTACAAGTGCCATTAATCCCAGCTCTACAGCTGAAGTCTAGCAGGATGCTAAATATCCAAAATTCCCTTGCCCGCCTTAAATAGGCAAGAGTGTTCTTCATTTCTTGTCCTAACCTACTCCAAATGGTTATTATGCATCATTTATCAGCAGTGCATCCTAGCTCAGAGCTGACTACATCTTACTAGCAGTGCAAATTATGCTTCTACACATGTAGGGGGATTTTTTTTTTTTTTAATCTGCACAGACTACAAATGTGAATGCTGCTCATCCAAAATTCCCTTGGCTAACACGCCCATCTGTCCCAGCTTCTACAAATCAGGGGGAAAAAAAAGTTCCTTTTTACTACCTAAAAAAGCTATTAGTCTGTTACATTTGATATCCCTGATGTTGCTGGAGTCACCAAGGAGGTATAAACATATGCATGAGCACACCCAGGCTCCTGCAGCCTGTCCTCTGCAGGTACTGTGGTTCTGCTCCTGCTAACATGCAAACCGTGGATTTTAATAACACAATTTATTCTCTATTGTAAGCAAAAGCTTAGGAGGGAAAACTTAAAGGGATGAAGGCGCTGCAACGAGGACGGCTCTTGATGTGCCAGAATAAATCACATTCAGGGTGCTTGGTAAGCACCAGAAATCTCTTGCCTGGGGTGAATTGTGAGACTTTCAGTAGTAAAATGACGGCACTAATAGAGCTCAGCCACACTCCTTTCTTTCCTTTGCCTGCTCACTTCTCAGCAACTTTTTGTGCCGCTGCTCCTTTCAAACACAGCCTTGTTATCATTTTGAAAGCCCAGGTTTATGGGTTTGTATTTGTTTTCTACTACAGAATGCATCATTTAAGGCTAATAAATTAAACATACGGCAGAGGCAGAGGGAGAAAAATTAGTTACAAGCATCTGCAGCAGTCTCGCAGTTTATTTGTCTCCGAAAGGCGCTGCTGCCATGGAGACAGGATTTCAGAGTTTGCTTCGCTCCAGGTTGCTCTGCAGAATCTTAGAACCATAAAATCACTGAGGTTGAAAAGACCTCGAGGATCATCGAGTCCAACCAGGTCCACCACTAAACCATGACCCTAAATGTCAATTCTTCATGGGTTTTTGAGCGCTTCCAGGGATGGTGATTCCACCACTTCCCTGGGCAGCCCGTTCCAATGCTTGGCCATCCTTTCAGTGATACAATTTCCCCTAATATGCCATCTAAATCTTCCCTGGTGCAACTGGAGCTGATTCCTCTTGCTCTATTACCTAGGAGCAGAGCCTGGCCTCTCTGGCTGCACCCTCCTTTTTCTCCAGGCTGAGCCTCCACAGCTCCCTCAACTACTCCAGGTGCTCCAGAGCCTTCCCCAGCTCCACTGCCATCTCTGGACATTTTCCAGCACATCAATGACTTTCTTGTAGAGAGGACACCAGAACTGGAGGTGTGGCCTCAGCAGTGCCCAGCACAGAGGGACAATCCCTGCCCTGGTCCTGCTGATCCAGCCAGGATTCCCATGGCTGGTATCACGTGCCAACAGAACACATCCAACACAAAGGGAGACAGAGAGAGAAAAGTAGAAAGCAAGAAACAGACCCAACCCCAGGAGAAACCACCCCTGGAGCACCCTCTGACACCTGAACTTGATTCCTCTATTTACAGGTGTGCTGGGCAGGAGGCTCAAATTATCAATGTATATTTTTAACCATTTCAGCCCTTCTTGAAACCTCTGGAAGGGTTCCAAGCACCCTCTGCCAAGCCTCCTGAGGAGCACCAGCCCCTCCTGCAGCCTGGCCCTTCTCTGCTCCGCAGCCCTCGGATCCTCACCCCATCCGAGACACAAGAAGCGCTTGCGGATGATGCGGTTCCGTAACCGGCCCGTCACGGCCATGTAGGACTGCCAGGCCTCGGTCAACACCCAGCAGAAAGAGGAGAGGAAGAAGAAGTGCAAGAAAGCCGCCACCAGCGTGCAGATCACCTGCAGAGAGGAGGAAAGGAGGACACGTGAGAGGAGCAGCAGGCGGAGAGAGCAGCAGGGAGCAGAGAGGAAGGAGTGGGGAGACGATTCCAAACCGGGCTCTGGAAGGAAAAGTCATGGAAGTACTGCCTTAGAGGGGGCAGGGTCCTCCAAAAGCTTTGACTCAGCAAAGATCAAAGCCTTAAATTTAAGTACTATGTGGAAATCATCTGCTCTTAAGCATAAGCTTTAGGATAAAGCCATGGTTAACACTTTAGAAGAATTGTGGAATTATAGAATTGTTTGAGTGGGGAGGGATCTTAAAGATCATTTAATCACAACCTCCCCAAAACAGGCAGGGACACTTTCCACTGGAAGTCTGAGCACACATTTCATCCTGGTGCTTTCTTGGCTTCAGCAGGATATATTTAATTTCCAAAACATCCAAACTATTGCTATGATCCTTACAAGGCAGGGGGGACGGAGTAGTTAGTAAACAGTGCACTAATCTCAGCTCAAAAGGTTTTCAAAGCACCACGTCCCTGGCAGCCCAGCCATGGAAATGAAATCTGAGGAAGGTAATTTGGATGGTGCCCCTGCCAGAACAACAGGGCTGAGTGAAAGAGTTAAGCTGTGAGAGCTGGGTGAAACCACGGCTGCCAGGGGCTGGGAAAGGACTGCAAACATGAGGGCACAGTTGTCCAAGAGCACATAACTACCAGCAGACAGCAGACAAAAAAAAAAAGAAAAAAAAAAAAGAAAAAAAAAAAGAAACTCCCCCCTAGATTAGAAGGAATTTCATAATGGTGAGCTCTACTACTTGGTGGGGAAATCTCACAGGGGAAATGCAGGCAGCTTAAGCCATTTAAAATTAAACTGGGGAAAGAACTGGCAAATGCATTATGAAGAACAATCCCAGAGTGCCAGGGAGATGGACTGGAAAGCTGACAAGCTCGTCTTTGTTTTAACTCAGCAAGGCCAAATCTTTCACTGGTGCAAATTGGTGCCGCTCTGTTTCACTCAGCCAGTTTTCCCCCCATCTGGGAGCTGAAAACTGTGAATCAATGTACTCGAGAAGAAAGTGATGGGAAGAAACTCCAGTGGCTCCTGAGGAGAAGGGAGAGCAAATAGATTTTAAAAGTGACTAAGGATGGAAAAAATATATGGCTTCAGGCATTTGGGGGAGGTTTATAATCAAGAATTTCTTTGCTTTGAGTTATATGGGGAAACATGGACTTGGTTTTACGGTCAATGAACCTTTCTCTTTTTCCTCTTTTTTCAACCACCAGCATCTTTCAAGCCACAGCTCTCATGCACAGAGTGGCTTTTATCATGATTTTATCGGATTGCTCTCGATTCATCCACTGGCACCACCCGACGTTATCAGAGGCTGTGAACAAAAGCAAGACCGTGTGTTCTCTGAGATAGGAACTGTCTTTTTTTGTTCCAGATTTGCATTTGACACCAAATCCCTCCATATTCTGCTTAAAAGTGGATTCAGGATGTCAGTTCAGTACAAAAAACACAGCTCGATATGATAATGTCCAGTAATTTTCACATTTTACAAGAATTCTAAAAAAAGGTCATTCTTATCCATCAGCTTACAAACCCTTTATGAAACAGCTACAAACAGAGGATGCTTTCTCAAATGGATTTCAAGAGATTGCTATTTTATAACTCTTTTTTTTTTTGACTGATATCAGGTACAACACTGCTCACATTGCCTTTTTGATTTTGTTTCAAACCAACACAGCTCTTCCTTGTAAAGGGGAGAGAAAAGCATTGCTTTACAATTTTATACAATTTTACACAGAGATACATTTGGGTTTGGTTTTTTTTTTCTCAAATGAGTAGCTTTGACAGAAAGGGAAGAAGAGAGGAGGGGAAGGCAAGAGAAAGATGCACATTTCAGATGGACCAGGATGAACTCATCGCCTCAAATGAACTTGGCCAACTGATAGGCAGGCAAATATTTGCTTCTGCAACCTCTGCTGCAGGTTTTCCCTTCCTTGTGGGGAAAACCAAACATCCCCATGAAGGGCTAAGCACAGGGATATGATGTCCCAAGATCCAGCAGAGCCTGTCAGTCTGTCAAGGCCATTAGTCCTTGTTTTCCTTTAAGAGGAGAAATCTGTTCCCTTCCAGCACAAGCCTTGGAGACACGGCCACTTCCTGCAGCATCCCTTCCCTTTGTATCCCCGGATTGCTGACTGTAATTTTTTTTTTTTAGCCTTTTCCCAGGCCTTTCATCTTCAAAAAGCTTAGCAAATCCAGGCATGGAATCTCGCCTTTGAGGTTACACGGATGGAAATCCAGGGAGAATTTGACATTTCCAGGGAAGCTGATACCGCAGAAACCTCCCGGAGAAGCCTCAATTATAAATCACCAACATTTTAAGACGCTCTATTATCGATAATTGAATGTGAATAAAATCTTAATTTACACTCCTTCGTCTCTCCTCTGTATAGTTTTCTCTCTCTGTTGCCTGCCAGAGACTGTTTACTAGATGGCTGAGAGGAAATCCAAGAATAACCTTTCTATTTCTGGGGTTTCATGCATATGGATGTGCAAAGAGCTAATCTGCCTCCTGCCATCACTGCCGGGAGCTTCAAATCCCCACCAACAGCTCCCAACAGTGAACTCCCAGAGTCACGGGACAAAAAATCCACCAGGGAGAACCTGGGTTCATAACTGTGCTCTGGAGGAGGTGGGAGAGGAGGAACACATCCAGCTCCTGTCCTGAGGTGAAGAAGAACCACCAAAGAGGAGGTCCAGCTGTGGTTTGTCCTGTTGAGCATCCCTCAGTGCTTCATCCCACGGAAAGAAGCTCCCAGCACACGTTTGGTGTGGCAGAAAACACAACCAAGGAAAGCAGGAACTTGGGTCTTCCTCTCTCCACCGCCTGCCAACCATGGAAGATAACTCTGCTTTAGGAAGGGATTTTCTGAAGGGCACTTTGTGGCAGGAGCAGGGCTGGCTGCTTGTTTCCACACTTCTCTGCACACACAGGGCTCCAGCAGATGGAAAGCTTTTCCTAAAACAACCTAACCCAAAGGGCCTTCCATAGAAATTAATCCCTGATTCACTAAATACTTCAGCTTCTCTGCAGGAATCATAAAATCATGGAATGTGTTGAGTTTTGGGAGGCACCTTAAAAACCATCTCATTCCAACCCCCTGCCATGGGCAGGAAGATTTTCTCTTTGCTCAAAGCTCTGTCCAACCTTGCCTTGAACACTTCCAGTGTTGGGGCACTCACAATTTCTCTGGGCAACCTGTTCCAGTGCCTCACCACCCTCACAGGGAAGATTTTATTCCTGATAAGCTTCTAAAAGTGACACCACACTCATGCTGCCAAAGCAGGGGCTCAAAAAACCCATCTGGTCACTGGTTCCTGTTAAGCAATAACTAATTTTTCACTTCTGATTGTGATTTTGGCAGCAGGAAGAGTGGAGGGGGCGTCTTGATTCACGTTTTTTGGCTCAACAGAGCTATGATGGTCAGAGCATTTGGGAAGAGGGAAAAATTTACAAGAGGAAAATTCTAATGGCGAGCTCTGATTTGTCATGCCAGACATCAACAGGGAACCTGAAAGTGTTTGAGCTGGAAAAAAATCATGGAGGCAACACACGCCTCTCCAGCTGGGTCTATGGGAAGAGAGCAACCAGTGCTCATGGCTTGGAAAACCACGCTGGGTCTTGCCTGGGCTGTTGGAGTCACTCTGGGATCTGCTCTGAGTCCCTCGAGGCCCTGCAGTGCTCACGGTGCATCTGGCAATGCTTCCCATCCCCAAAAAAAGGTTGGACAGTTTTGTGCCTGTGTTCATTAACATCTGCCAAGCACTTTCAGCTCAGAGTATAAAAACTGCCGGAGAAATAAATGTAAAGCTGAGAGGTTGTTTGTTTGGGGTTTTTTTTTAAAGCCTTTTCTCAATCTGTCTTTGTAATTTTTTTGAAAATAAAATGGTTAAAGCCTTGCAAATCACCACGCTTCTTCACCGTGCCATGTGCCAGCTACTCTAGGCAGATATTCAAAAATATCACATTGGTTTTAATCAAAGCCCTGAGGATGCTGACAAATTATCAAAGAGAGAGCGAGAGAGAAAATTGAAATCTGCCATTTAGCCGTGTCTTTGACATGTCGCTAATTAACAGATGGAGGAAAAAATGAGGAAGCGCTGCCTGAATGGATCATTTCAGTGCTAAATCAGGGGGAAAGCAAACAAATAAACAAAGCCCCAGTGGATCCCTTACCTTATTCCGGGTCTGGGTCTGTCCGATGAGGATGAGGGCATTGGAGGAGATGATGGAGAGGCAGAAGTTGATGAGGATGACAGAGCGCTCCGAGCGGATGTACCTGCAGCAAGAGAAGAGGGGAGGGAGACGCACCCTGTCACAGCCTGCCCGGGGTGACCTCTGCAAAGCAGCAATCCAGGCCAGGCTCTACAGAATTGCCAATTTCCTGAAGATTTTATGTGCTGGACAGACAAGAACGAGGCGGGAAGGGAAGGGGAGAAGATGTCTCCATCATCCCCATCAATGCTGGAGTTAGGAGCCAACAAACGAGGGGCCAGCCTAGTCTGAGCCCCTCCTAAAAACAGTAGAGTGCTGCAAATCTTCTTCAGCTCTGCCTACTTGAAGCAGGGGCTTGAAAAGGAGCTTGAAAGAAAACAAACAGGCAACACACGGAAAAGATTCCCAACCAAGAGCCACAGGCATGCTGGCGATGGAAGCAGATTACAAACACATGCACCTTGACAACAAAGTGTGTGTGTGATTCAGCATTCCACTTCCTTCAGCCTAACAACCCCTCCTGGGGTGAGAAGCATTGAGAAGCATTTCTGGCTTTTATTTTTTTTTTTTTTTTTTTCTATTTTTTTTTTGTACCACTTCTCCAAACTAGGCCAAATACGTAACTGCAGCTGTGGGTTTGGGACATCAGGGACAGCAGTTTGGGAGCTGTTGCTGCCTTCAGCACCTTGCAGGAGGCAGCTATTTGTCATTTCTGATTTGCAGCACAGCACCAGGCTCGCTGCCGAGGTAAGTGCACCACAATTAATTCAAACCACTGGCCAGGGAGGGAAATTTCTTTGAAGGCACTTTTATGTACCCGATAAAACAAAAAGGGAACTGCAAAGGTGAAAGTCCTCAAGGATTGACTCAATATCTGACCACACCAATGTTCACACACGTGAATTATCTCAAAGATGCTGCAAGTGCCCTGCCTGAATGCCAGATGAGTGAAGAGGAGATGCTGATGCTTATATAAATTAGAAACAGATGTATTAATCAACCAGCTCATCCCTGGAGGCTAATGCAGGATTATTTCCTATATTCCAGCACATCAACTATTTATGTTGGGAATTTAATTTCATTAATTAATTTTAGCCAGAGTGAGTTGGTCGTGCCTTGGCTGCTGAGTTTTGAGTTTCTGATGAGGAGGGCAGGATGGGTTTACTGCACACGTGTGTTCTGCCAAGGGTAAATCTGTGCTTTAGACCTAATGAAGGCTGTAAGTTTTGATTTTTCAACTTCCCCTTGAGCTGTACCTTCAGATAAACGTGTATGGTAAAGATATGCTTTCCTGGATGAAAAAGAAAAAAAAGCAAAGGTAGCATGAACTCCTACCTAATCTGTTGGAAATCTGGTTTATAGGAAGTTCTCCCTATATTCCAGCCCCAGAACAGGCTGGAAAATGTAGGATCCCTCCTCAGCAAGAAACTGGGTTGACAGGCTGCAAAATGAACTTCTGGTTCCTTCCGCAGCCAAGATGAGCCCAAATTTTGTGATCTCTCTGGGCTCCATACAATGCTGGGCACCACCTGAACCCTGCTCCATTTGTGACTGGAGACCTCAATCTTTTCATGCTTTGACTGTGTGAAGTAAAACCCCAAATCTCCAGTCAGGAGCTTCTATGGGGCAGAAACAGAGATTTGGACTCTGTCCTGATGGGAAGGAGATGTGATAAATCTGCGTAGGAACACTATGACCCCACTGCTATTAACATGAACTTCTGAAGTCTCCACTGGTCAGAAAAAGGTAAGAAATGAGTTGACTGTTAATCTGCATTTTAATGTAAGGGGAGATAATCCAGCTGTCTTAAGACCTTTTCCCCCTTAAGCCCCCTTAAACCAACTCTCCTTTTTCCCTGCTTCCCTTCACACCCTGAGAATTTATCTTGTTCTCCATATCCCTGAACCTTCAAATAACAAGATGTGGGTTGGCAATGAAAAGAATCAGAATAATTTAGGTTGGGGAAAAAAAAACAAAACCTCTCAAGTTCCCAGTCCAATCCTATGCCCAAAAAAAGGACTGATTTCAAAGTCAGATCAGGTTTCTCAGGGTCTCATCTGACTGAGATTTGAAAATCACCAGGAACAGGAATGCTACCACCTCTCTTGGCTGACTTATTACAGCACTAAACTGCTTAACTTAACTGCTCTCCTGGTGAAGGATTATTTTGCTTTATATCCAGCTGGGTCTTTTCCTGCTGCAGCTGGTGCCTCTAGACCTTTCCCTGCCTACCTCTGAAAGTTGTTTGGCTTCTCCATGACTGCTTTTTAACAGCCTCCTCTTCTCCAGGTTTGTTCCCTTTTCCTCCCCTGGCATTCTCCAGCTCCCTCAGCATCCACTGGACTTGCTGGGATGTGCTGGTACCTCTGCTATTGGGGGGATCCAACACTGGGCAGCTTCTCCAGGTGTGGCCTCAGGAGTGTCCAGGTTGTTAAAGAAGACATTAAACATTGCTGACCACTCTACCAACCCTGACCAGCTCTTGATTAGCCTCAAACCTTTGACCACTACCCTCAAATCCTGCAGGAATATCATCCAGATATAAAGCCACCAATCCAGTGCATAATTCCATGATCATGGATACAAAAATGCATTTGGAGACTGTGTTAATGGCCTTGGTAATGTCAAAATCCACACCAGCTGCTTCTCCCCACTGTCCATGTAAGCAGTCATCCCATCCCAAAAGGAAAACAGGGCAGCCAAGCACAACCTGTCCTCCACAAATCCTCACTGTCTATTCCCAATCTCTTCCCTGTCCATCATTTTGCCTGGGAATAACCTTTAGAGCTACTTGCTCTTTCATCATCCCAGGGGCTGTGTAGGCTGACTGGTCAGTTGTTCTCTGGATCCTCCTCCTTGCCCTTTCTAAAGGTGGGGGTAACATTTGCCTTCAGGAAGCCCCCCAGGTGACAGAGAGTGGATGCACAGTCACACCAAACATCTCCCTCAATGCATCCCATGGATTTGCAAACACCCAGATACCTTAAACAGTCCTTGTCTCTCTTTCCCTTGGCAGTGGGGAGCATTTTCACCTCTGGATTCTGCCTCTGTGGAGGAATTTGGGTGTCTGGGAGCAAGCCTCGCCAGCAGAACACGCCAAAAAGGCACTGGGCACCTTCACCTCTTAAACTCCTTATCCACTTAGGCTATTTTTCCCACTCAACACCATTTCCTGGGAAAACCTTTGATGCTGACGTACCTCCAGAACCCACTCCTGATGCCTTTCACATCCCTGACCACTTTCAAACTCAGCTGAGCTCTGACCATTCTAATTCAATCCCGCATTCCTGGGCAATTCTTCCAGAGTCCTCCTTGGTAGCCTGACCTGGATTCCAAACATCTCCTTGTTAAGTTTCTGCTCAGTCAGAATGTTAAGAAGACCTCCTGCCACGCTTGCTTTTTTTTCCTTCCATTTCCTCTTCTCCAGCACAGGATGCTCCACAAAAAGAAATCACCATTCCCCTCCAGACCCTCTGGCCAAAGAAATCAGGAATTTGTATCAGAGGGGGAAAAAAACCATAGAACTTGATGGGTTTTGCCCAAAACCACATCTGCAGCAAAGACCGAGCTACTCCAGGGTGTTGCCTTGCTACACCTCTACTGATACATGGATTCTGTCTATTTATCAAAATATGCTATACTCAGCCACAAAACTGGGGGAAACTCACTGCTAACTTAGGGAACTTCTGCTCCAGCCTGTGTCCTCCAATCACAGAATATCCTGAGTAGGAAGGGACCCACAAGGATCAGCAAACCCAACTCCTGGCCCTGCACAGGACACACCAACAATCCCACCCTGTGCCTGAGAGTGTGTCCAAACACTCCTGGAGCGCTGGCATATTTGGTGCTGTGACAATTCCCAGGGGAGCCTGTTTCAGTGCTAAACCACCCTCTGAATTAAGAAATATTTCCTGATACCCAACCCAACCCTCCTGACATAGCTCCAGCCATTCCCTCAGGTCCTGTCACTGGTCACTAGCGAGGATCCCCACATGCTGTGAGAAGCCCTGCACCAGCTGAGACAGATGGAAAAGGTGGGAAAAGCCCACAGTCTGTTTCTCTGCCCCATTAGACTCCTCTCCTCTCCACAAACACTGAGTCACTGCTGCTTTCTCACCGTGTGTACACACATCCCTCTCCACACAGCCACTTACTCATCCCTGCTGCCTCCCACCAGGGCCAGGAGTGCCTCAGCATCCCCAGCACAGGCAGAGCTCCTGGGTTTAAAGCAAGCCTTAACAGCCCCTCGAGAACTCATTGACAGCCACTCAATCAATCCTCGGGAGTGAGAAAATCCGGGGCTGTTCTCTTGCAGTGATGCAGCACTCACCCAGCTGCTGCCAGGGACAGAGCTCTGCCCGGCCCCACATGCTGATGGGCTGGTGGATGAGCTGCTCAATAGCAGGGATCGATCCCATGCTATGGAAAGGTCACTGACTCCAGAGGCTGTAGAGCTGCAATGAGTTCAGGGATGGAAAACACATCGGGGCACTCCTGAAATGCCAGTGTGTCAAGGAGCTGCTTGAAAAGAGGTGTCATTTCACCTGCTCTGACCCCTGAGTGGTTGGGTTTTCCCTGCAGTTTTTCATTTCTACACCAGTTTTCAATTGTTTTTCTCAATTCCCCCTCTTTTCCCACACGGGTGGAGGAGCACGTGGCCCACACACAGATTGTGCCTCCAGCTGTGACCCAGGACAGGCAGTGCAGAGACAGAACAGGGTCACTCCACTTCTGTGGCCCACTGTGTCACTGACCCCTCTGTCGAGCCTGCTAATAAGACCAGAGATGCACCATCTGCAGCAGGGATTTTTTGCAGCCATCTGTCTGCTGGGAACTGGAGTGAGGCCACCAACAGGCCACCAACAGCCCTCGAACAGAAACAACTTCCAGTTTCCAACGGGGCCGTGCCAAGTTGGCCGTGTCTGAAGTGATCACTTGCCTCAGAAAAGCTCGTGCCATTCATGCCAGTGGCTGAGTAGGTGCCACCAAGGAGCAGCCTTTATTTGGGGGTTTTGAATGGGGAGTGAAGGGGAAATTAATTTCCTCCCTGATATGTAGCTGGGATCACCTCCCTGTTACTCTCGCCCCTCTTTTCTTCGCCGCGTTTCTCTCCCTCTTTCTCTCCCTCCCTTCTTTTCTGGTTCCCATTTACACAAACAAACCCTTGCTGGGCAAAATTCTGGGAAAGCTTCCAGATTGTCAGCCTGAGCGAGCTTATTCATCAGAAGTGTTTCATACTCAAGCTGGGTCTATGGATGCATGCTCCAGATGCCTTTGTCCAGAGTTCTGAATGGGAAATTTTCCGGCCAAAGCTCCACAAAACAGCTGAGCTCTGGTGAGTGCTCTCCACACAAGATCAGGCAGCCAGGACATGAGGAGTTTCTCTCCAGCACGGTGGAAAAGAACCACTTTGATGCTGCTCCTGTGTTTTGGAGACAATAATACTGCTGATTCCATTTCTAAGCACTCCTCCAGCTGCTGTCTATCAGAATATACAACATTTAGGGCAAAACAAAGTGGGAGCCAGGAGATAATGTTGAATACAAAGTTCCTGAGGCCATTAATAGGAAAGCACATTCACGTCCAGCAGCTATGCCTAAAATAAAAAGGACACACAGAGCGCTCAGGGCTCAGCCACGGGAATGCTGTGAAGTTTGGAAAACATGAAAACATGATCTACAGAGAAGAAATGGAACAAACTCAGCGCACCAAAGAGAAATTCTAGAGATCATTCATTCATGCTTTACAAATATTTACACAGAGAGACTCAGGATAGAGAGCCCTTCAATCAAGATATAGCTGGTCTCAGGATCACTTGGAAATGCATGTCCATCCTTGGCTAGCTCAGAAATACCCATTCAAGCCTCCCTTAAACGTGTCCTCCCATTCCTGCTGATCGTTTTGGCCATAGGCATAAGGCAAAGAGTGGAATGAGAAATTAAACAGAACATATTTGAAACAGGTCAGGCAATTTACTGTCCTCAATAACAGTAAATATTGGAAGGGTAGGGAGGGGAGCACAGTCCTGGAAAAAAATACATCATGTTATTCCAAATGGCTCTGGCATGCTCCAAACGGATTTAGCCTCATGTCTGAGCTTGGGCTTCAGATCCTGACCCTGTTTCTGATAGGAAAGAGAGGGTGAGGCTCGAACGCTTGCTCTTTAATCTTCTATCCTAACTTTCCACTTGATCCTGACACCAGTGACCCCAGTAAGTCACCTACCGGCGCTGCTCAGTGCCGCCCAGCCTGAGGAAAAGCAGGAGAGGACAAGGACTTGAGCACATCCAATGATACCCCAGGCACGGAAAAACCTGAGTTCTAGATAAATGTTATCATGATCAGTCTTCAGCTGCCAAAATTAACCAGCCACTATGTACTGTCACAGTATCAACAAAAAAAAAAAAAAAAGCATTTTTGCTCAGTTTTTACTCTCTTGTTTCCTTCCTCTATCAAAGCGCAGAAAAAAGTTATCTCAGTTCAATCTCTAAATGGAATTTACCCTTTCCTTCCTGCCGAGAAGAAGCACTGCACAAAATAAGAGCCTCACACTGATCCCTTCTCCCAAAAGGATCGCCAGTAATACCCAACTGTACTCCCTGCAGCCACTCCATTTGGATTTCACAGATATTCACCTGGTTCTGATTTGTCTTTGCTTGGCCTCGAGCCATGTGTTTGCCATGGATTTAGGAGAGACATGGATCTCACAGGATAAACTCAGACCTTGTTCAAGGCAATACAGGGAGAAAATCCCTTGCACACCTCGGGTCCTCCAGCTTAGAGTCACCAGAATGTATCTAACAGGGGCATGGGCCAATTGTTCATTAAAGCTTTGCTTCAAAATCCCTTCAGCCTCCATAAATGACACAATTTTAGGTTCCACCCGACCTGTGTGCAGGAGCTGTCAGCAATGGGATGTACTGAGGGATCCCATATGCACCTGAAGCTGAAGGCAAAAAGGTTGGGGAGTCATTTAGATGATTTAAGGTTTAACATCCTTAAGCTCCTTAAAAGTCCTGCCAGATCTTCAGGCCAGATGTTTTCATGGCAGGTCACGGAGGTTTGGATGTTCCCAAAGAATTCCCTTGCAGCAGCATCTGCCTGCCAAGAGGCCGTGTGCGTCCACCTCGCCTCTGACAAGGTTTCCTGGGGTACACAAAGGCATCGAAACCAGCACGAGGCTTTTTGGAAATGGAACAATGTCCCTACATGAGGGCATGGCACTAATTTCACTCTGCTAATTTCTCTGGCACTGAAAGGAGAGAATAATGCCAGCTAAGCCACCAGGACGACTTTCTGCAGGGCCCACTCATTCCCAAACAGTTCCTCCTCAAGCACCAGGCACCCAAAACCACAGAGCAAACATTCCAGGATCCGTGTAGGTCAAAAGACAATTACTTTCCCCAAAAAGAAGAGAAGAGAATGAAAGCCATACCTCCAAACAGAGACATAAATGATAATCAACAGCAAAAGTGTCAGCGAGGATACTCCACAGCCTACAATTAACGTGACAGAAGGGACCAGCACCTTTTCCATGTTCTGAAAGAGAGAAAGTGAGACATTAAAAAGTAAGTTCAGCCAGTTCTACCACAAAAATTCCATGGCAAGAACGTTCCTGTTTGTTGGTGTGTCCACTCAGCTGACCTTCACATCACAAACAAACAGGGAAGGAGACCAGGATCTGTTTCTCCTTGACCCAGCCTTTTTTTTTTTTTTTTTTTTTTGGACCTGATTCTGCTCTCACAAACCAGTGTCAAGCCTGAGCAACAATTCTGATATCCATGGAAGGCAGGCATGTGAAAGGTGTTATGAGAGGAGGATCAGGCTCTTCATAACCAGTGTGAAAGTGGGAAGATAATTAATGAAGCAATAACAGAACAATTACAAATGAGCTCTTCTGGGACAGCGGTGATGAAGGGTGGAGGATGAAAAGAAGGTGAAAATTTTCCACCAACCACAAACATTCATCTGGAAAAGGATGAAATGAAGCAAGGGAAGAAAAAACAAGATGTGTATCCTCTCCAGGGATCCACCATCCATCAATTCACTGCTCTTACACCACTGCACAAGGCATTTTTTCATAGAAGGGGATCACACAGGCTGGAAAACCTGGTGTGGAATGGCTCTTTTTTCTGACTGAATACAAAAGAACATCAGCTCTTGCAATATAAAGAGCAAACACACGCTGTAACCTCTCTAATGGAGCTCTCTGCATCCTGTGACTGTAACTACCCAACATCTGCCACACTGATATCACTGAACTCGCCCTGTCCTCAGCTCAGAGCGAGAAGCTCAATCCCACTTGGCTTTCTCTGCTGCAGGCATTTTTTTTTTCCCCCCCCGGCACGTTTCTTATTTCCACATCAGTGATCTCTGCTGGCAGGAAGGCAGAGAATGGCAAGGGCCCCACGCAGAACAGACACTCAAGAACCCTCTGTTTGGGGTGACACCGTTTGCAGAGGACAGGGAGCCCAGTCGAGGTTTGTCATTAGGTTGGCACAGCACCAGCACCTCGCACTTCACTCATGGAGATGAGATGGCTTCTGACACAGCAAGGGCTTAGCACAGGAGATAAAATAAAAAAAAGAAAAGTAAATTATGCATGAATTTGGAAATGAAACAGGCAGTCCTCTAAGGACTTGACTACACCGTTTTTTTGGCAGGCACGAGGCTGAACCTCCAGTCAGAGGGTTGGAGCTGAGGCTACAGCAGCTCTGTTCCGGGCTACTGAGCCTTCAGGCTCAGTACATCAGGCAGGGCTCAGTGCTGGGTTTAAATGGAGCCTGGCCAGCTCAGCACATGGCCAAACCAAACCTGTGTCCAATTCCTCAAGGCCCACAGCGCCTACAGGGTTACTCCACAAAAAGAGAGGAACAACCCTGATACACAGAGGTCAGAGCTGAATTGTCCCTGAATTTTTGAGGGCTTGGGAAAACCCTCCTTATTTGCCTATTTTGAACATGGACACATCTCACAGCTGAGGGGAATTAATGAGGAACAAAACTTTCACCACACCACTGCAAGGAAGCCCTCAGCAGCTGTCAGGAAGGATGGAACAAGAACTTCCAAAATTTAGTGACACACTGTAGAAGCCTAAAAAATAAGGGGATTAATGTGAATGTCTCAAACATGAATGATCATGGAGCCAACCAAGAATTGCTGGTAATAACACACTGTGAGGAAGAACAAGGTATGGCTAGAAAAGGGGCCATGCACAGGTAGGGCAGCACTTTTCTGGGAGGAAAATCCTTGCTCTAGCACCTGGAGATTAGCAAAACTCAGCACAGTGCAGGCACAGGAATAAGGTTGAGAATTGGGCATGGACTATAGGATGGATCAAGACCACCCAAGATCCCTGAAGGCTCCAACCCACTTCCAGAAAGGTCTAGAAGAACAGACAACTGATTTGCATGGAAAGAGAGAGACTTATCTCCAAAGCAGAGAAAACTGATCTATATAAAGGTACTCCCTGGGCTCATGGGCACCCCAAGGACCCTGGACACCCCATCAGCTGGATCAATACTGGAGCCAGCACTGGTGATTTCTCTTTTTCCCTTTCCTTGTTTCTCTTTTGTTTCTCTCTCTCCCTCTTTAATCCATCTCCTTTTTCCCTTTCACTCTACCCCTTTATCCAAAACCCACTGCTGTGTGCTGGCACTAGACCAGGGACTAATGTAACAATTTCCATCTGCAATTCACTTACAAAACTTGGGATCCCTCTGACTTCTGCCATTCCTTTTGATCAAAAATTTGGGGTGTTTCCTTCCCCTTAAGAGTGGGATGTCTCACACTGTCAATGCCTTGAGTACCCAGCTGGCACCAAAAGGAGAATGGGTGGTCTGAGGGGTCTTCACTGCATGCAGACCAGCTACAGACAAGAAACCTGAGCTCCACCAATTCCTTCTGCATCTCCCTCAGCTTTGAGGTTCCCAAGAAAGAGATGTTTCAGGCCTCCTGTGGATTCTTTCCCTAAGCCTTTACAGACACTTGGGTCACTGTGATTTTTTACATCAACTTCTCTGACTATGCTCCCACCCTGAGAATTTACTCCTGCCAAATCTTCATGCAAGGTTAGAAGCGTGTTTTTGGGAACGAGGTAAACATAAATTTCAATGAAAATATCAACCCTTTGATTTTGTCTTCCATCAAACCAAATTGAATTTGGACATCATCCAGGCAGAGTGAGTGCTGATATCGCATATTTTGCTCCTTATAAATTGAAATGTGGAAAGGACTCTGATTTAGTCAGGTAGGGTCTGGCAGAGATGGATACAATGTCCTGTAGGAAGTCACAGCTTTGTTTGTCCCTCCTGCAGAATCCTGGTGGGCAACAGCCCTGTCCCGGGGCAGAGGTGCAAGGCTGTGATAAAAGCACTGTGGAACACAAGACACTCAGCCATGGATGGCTCCTTGCTCGCTCCCTTCAAGCTCTTTCCCAAGCCTTTCCCTCTCCCTGCTCCCCCCTCACGGCAATCTGAGTTCACATCGCACAAACGGTGGCCTGGGATGAGCATCGATTGTGACATTTGATTTAAGTAGGTCTCATTTCGCTGACTTTTCATGGGTAACTGGATAAAAGTGGGGGAGGAGCTCCATTAAAGCAAAGAAAGCTCGACATGTAACTCATTCCTAAACCATCAAGGGAATGGAGTTTGGTTTTTAAGAGATGAGCAGGCCGCATCCCTAAATCCCAACACTGCAACCCCAGCCGCCCTCCCTTCCACATCCTCCCTGAGATCCCTCCACCTCAAAAGACCTCAAGTTCTCTCACTGCCTTCCCCATCCACTGTCCCACATCATCCATAACCCTCTCCTAGATCCTGAAGCTAATTAAGGATCTTCCACATGTACTGGATCATTCCTTGCTCAGACGTTTGCTCCTAGACAAGGCATTACACAAATGATGACTGGTGAAGCTTAAGCCAGGCTTTAGGGTAATAACTGATCTCCATCTGCAGCCCATCCCACAGGAAATACTCTGATCTGTACCTCCTTCTTTGTCCTACAAAATATCACAAGCCCCATGTCCAGAAGAAAGGCTTTTGCTGAAGAGATGCCATGAAGCTCATCCCTTCACTCTACAGGAAAGGAAGGATTGATCCAGCCCTGATAAGATTTTTGTTGGCATCAGGAAGGAGGATAACCACAAAAATCACTGGCTGCAGGAAGAAGAGGAGCTTGCTTCTTTGGGAATATTCAAATAATTAAGATTGGAAAAGACCTTTAAGATCAGCAAGCCCAACCATCAACCCAACACCACCACCACATTCACCACTAATCCATGTCCTCCCTCAGGTGCCACATCCACATTTTTTTATCACTTCCAGGGATGGTAACTCTGCTATTTCCCTGTTTCAATTCTTTACCACTTTTTCCATGAAGAAATTTTTCCTAATATCCAATCTAAACCTCCCCCGGTGCAACTTGAGGCCATTTACTGTTATGTTAAGCAAGTCCTAAAGACTTAGGCCCCAATATCTTAGGATTCTGCTTTCTTCCTTCGTTATTAAGGTTTCTTTGTCCTCCCCACCTTCTTTCTTTATCTTTATTCTTTTTTTGTTCAGCAAAAAAATCATCATTTGTTTGGTTTTTTTCTGACTAATTAAACCCCCTGACAGAAGGTGGTCAGATGCTGCAGGATCTGAGCCTTGCGAGGGAAATTTCCTTAAAGAAGGAAAAATGGGAAAATCAAGGTTGGTTTAAAAAACAAAGATGCTATCAACAGAAAAATGTGAAAGTAAGAGAAGGAACAGTCCTATGGGATTTTCACAGCTTCAGAGCTGAGGAAAAAAAACACCTGGTTGTTTGCAGAAGACAGGCCAGGAATAGGATCCCTACCTGCCTGGACTGGAGAGGAACTGCTGAGAGGGGCCATCCAAAAACCCCCTGAAACACAGAAAAAGCTGTGCCTGTTTGGAGCTGGAAATGAAACTTTTCCCTGGGCCAGCTGGGAACAGAGCAGGTCGTTCTGAGTCGCAAGGGCTGCGATTCTGTCACCAGGCATGACAGGGGAGGAGGGAGGCAATCAATGACATCAGCCAGGATGGAAATAACGAGCGCTGCTGCCTGGGGCCACTCATGGCTGTCCTGCCACCTCATCGCTCTGCCTGGCAGGGCAGAAGGACACTCCTCCTTCCCTTTACAATTTCACCTTGCTTCCTTCTTTTTCCTCCTCTTCCTTTCTCCCTAATTTTTTCTCTCCTTTGTCTTCTCTGTCTCCTTTCCTTTGGCTATTTCCCACGGCATATTCTGCCTTTTCTTCTTGCTCTTAATGCATTTTTCCAGCTCTCCTCCTTTCAAATTCTCTGCATTTCTCCCCTTTCCTTCTCTGGCTTTCTGCAGAAGGCTGTGAAAAGCAGCTCCATTTGAGTTGTGCTTTTTCCATTACCCTGCTCTGGCTCCAGGGTCAAACAGGCTCCAATTAGAACAAACTATTTCTTAATGCTGTGCAGTTTGCCCCAGACCTTACAACCAAGCTGTTCTTTCTGCTTTTTCGATCCTTTATTCCAAGAAAGGCTTGAACAAAGTCTTTATAGGCA